AACGTCTAGGTTACTTGTGTAACCCTCGTTCCCTGAAGGAGGGAACGGAGACGTTACGTTCCGTTGCCACAGTTGCTGTACCACCGCTGTACGGCCGGGGCACGTAGTCTCGGCTCCTCAGCGAAAAACTGATGTGCGTTTGCACGCGCTCTCCTTTTATACCCGCGCTGCGGGGCGGGGTGCGCGTGGCGAAGCACGCACGCCAACTGTCATTGGCTTGTTTAGTTAACACTCGAAGGTGATTGGGCTCTCGGGCGAGATCCCAATTCGTCAGTCACTGACGTAACGTCTCCGTTCCCTCCTTCAGGGAACGAGGGTTACACAAGTAACCTAGACGTTACATGGACATCAGTAATCTAATTATTTACCTTATTCTAAATAAGCCAATATTATGGTTATGGTGTTTACATGAGTTGCTTTTAGAGTATTCCTTTCATGTTCCCGTTTTACATGTTATAGTACATAGTAGGCCTGGGCGATAAAACGGTATCGATATGTATCGACGGTACATCTTCTTCGATAACGATATAAAAAATGTTCGATATTGTGCACGATATAGGAGTGACGCAGACATGAACACATGCTGAAATTAGCGCTGTGACTTTTCGTGCTCGAATGCAAAAATAGTACAATCAAATGTTAGGAGTGCGTCGGAGCGTCACCAGTGGCGCACGAGATGCGGTGATGATGATGTAAGTGACCTTGTTGCATTTTAATGTTTTGTTAGTCTAGCCCATGAGATGTGCAGTTGCTGCATTATGCATTCAAAATATTAGAGAAATATAGAATATAGCTCACTGCGGAGAAGATCTTGATTAGGTTAAAACCAAAACTAAGCCATTCACACAGGACGCATATTCAGCGCATTTTTTTAGACGGACAAATATGACTGCTGCACTCGTCTCACACAAGAGATGTAGCCATGCAAAGTTAAAACAGTTTAAACTTTTAGAAAACACCTCGCAAATTTGTGGAGGTTTATTCCTTTTCACTGCGTCTCTTATGTTTTTAAATACAATCTGAGTGAATGGCGCCCTCCTGTGGCCTCGGGAGACAAGCCAAAAGTTTCCTTAAAGGGTTAGTTCACCCAAAAATAAAAATTAGGCTGCGTTTTACTCACCGCCGAAGCATCCTAGGTGTATATGACTTTCTTCTTTCAGACGAATCCAGTCGGAGTTATATAAAAATTTGTCTTTTTTTAAATTTTTTAAATTTAAATTTGTCTTGATACAGGAGGCCTTTGTTCACCCCCTGGAGCCATGTGAGAAACTTTTTTTTATGGAAAGGTGCTTTTTATTTCACGTCTTTTGAACCGAAGCAATGGGACACCCGCTGAGTACAACGATAGAGCTTGAAAGATCAAAGAATAAGCCAATATTATGGTTATGGTGTTTACATGAGTTGCTTTTAGAGTATTCCTTTCATGTTCCCGTTTTACATGTTATAGTACATAGTAGGCCTGGGCGATAAAACGGTATCGATATGTATCGACGGTACACCTTCTTCGATAACGATATAAAAAATGTTCGATATTGTGCACGATATAGGAGTGACGCAGACATGAACACATGCTGAAATTAGCGCTGTGACTTTTCGTGCTCGAATGCAAAAATAGTACAATCAAATGTTAGGAGTGCGTCGGAGCGTCACCAGTGGCGCACGAGATGCGGTGATGATGATGTAAGTGACCTTGTTGCATTTTAATGTTTTGTTAGTCTAGCCCATGAGATGTGCAGTTGCTGCATTATGCATTCAAAATATTAGAGAAATATAGAATATCACTGCGGAGAAGATCTTGATTAGGTTAAAACCAAAACTAAGCCATTCACACAGGACGCATATTCAGCGCATTTTTTTAGACGGACAAATATGACTGCTGCACTCGTCTCACACAAGAGATGTAGCCATGCAAAGTTAAAACAGTTTAAACTTTTAGAAAACACCTCACAAATTTGTGGAGGTTTATTCCTTTTCACTGCGTCTCTTATGTTTTTAAATACAATCTGAGTGAATGGCGCCCTCCGGTGGCCTCGGGAGACAAGCCAAAAGTTTCCTTAAAGGGTTAGTTCACCCAAAAATAAAAATTAGGCTGCGTTTTACTCACCCCCGAAGCATCCTAGGTGTATATGACTTTCTTCTTTCAGACGAATCCAGTCGGAGTTATATAAAAATTTGTCTTTGATCTTTTAAGCTCTATCGTTGTACTCAGCGGGTGTTGCATTGCTTCTGTCCAAAAGACTTGAAATAAAAAGTGTCTCACACGGCTCCGGGGGTGAACAAAGGCCTCCTGTAGCAAATCGATGCGTTTTTGTAAGAAAAATATCCATATTCAAAACATAATAATCACTTTAATGCGCAACGCTGACCCCATACGTCATGCTCCCGGAACTGCTTCTGTGTACAACTGCTGGCACAAGCTACATTAAAGTGATTATTACGTTTTGAATATGGATATTTTTCTAACAAAACACATCGTTTCACTACAGGAGGCCTTTGTTCACCCCCTGGAGCCATGTGAGAAACTTTTTTTTATGGAAAGGTGCTTTTTATTTCGCATCTTTTGAACCGAAGCAATGCGACACCCGCTGAGTACAACGATAGAGCTTGAAAGATCAAAGACAAATTTTTTATATAACTCCGACTGGATTCATCTGAAAGAAGAAAGTCATATACACCTAGGATGCATCGGGGGTGAGTAAAACGCAGCCTAATTTTCATTTTTGGGTGAACTAACCCTTTAAGACCTATTTAATCGGCATATAAAACATTAGAAATTAGATATGTTTAATTTTTATTTTTTGTGTAAAATATTTGTTGTTTGTCTCAACAAATTGGGTTAATTTAAAAATACAGTGGTTAAATTGAAACATTTTTTTCTATTGCTCTTTGTTTTAAAAAAGGTTAATAAAAATGTCTATAATTATCGATACCGAACGATATGAAACATTATATCATTGATAAATTTTTTAGCTATATCGCCCAGCCCTAGTACATAGTTTGATTAATGGCACACGTCATTACATCCTCACGTGACGCCATCCGATGTCCCCTCCGGAATTTCACGTATAAACATATAGTTCGTCTTCGTGATGATGCCATGTACAGTTTTGGGTGTTTCATTTTTTATTTTATGAAAGCTTCAAGTGCAGTTAATTATTTTTACGTGCATACAGATGATGGTGGTGTTGAAGCTCTTTTGTTTGCCGTCAAATGGTTGACCACTGACGTGTGTATCCTGTCGCAAAATGCGGTGAAAAGTTCTACACGATGGTAATAATGGGATTAAGGTGTGTACATGTTTATACTGCACTT